ACGCTATCTAACAAATTTTTTGGCAATACGCCCCAATGGAATGTTAACGAAAATAATAGCTCATTCAAAATTCTCAGACGCCTCCAAAAATTGTTGTGTCCTTCTTTTATAATTTCATAATTAAATGTAGTGACGTAAAGCAAGTTCGTCATTTAAAAAATATATGCGTACAACAAAATTTTTTCGTTTCATCTTACCTTTTACTTACTTTTCCGATAAATATAAAGCCATTATCGAAATTCTTTACAATATATAAAAAAATATTTATAAAACTGCTTGACGTGTTGATTGAGTTTATCTACCTACAGTTAACTCATTAATGAACCTTGGGAACCTACACTTAACAGGTATCTAATCAGGAAAGGTTTAAGGTGGATTTTGCTGATAACTTTGTACAAATTAATAAAAAATTATTACTTAATATAATCTTTTATGTATCCAAAGACCCTGAAATATAGCTGAAAACTAAAAAACAGTTAACAAGATGGACGCTATTCTGCAGGCTCCACAAGTCAATGTAAGATGGATTTGAGCCTCACTGGCGAAGGCTCAGTTTTATTCTTTTATAAATTTTCATCCTTCAGGTTTTTCCAAAACTAGTTGTTACAATTAATTATTCTTTTTAAAATGGGCTTCTAAATTAACAGTGTCCAGTGTCTCAATTAGATTTAATCCTTCAGCAATGGGTCAAGACCATTTGCAATGGGGAAGAACGTACAAACTATATAAAAATGCAAGGTGAATTATGCAGTCAAAGCTTTTTGAAGTTCTCAATCAACAAGTTGATAAAATTTACCCAAATAAATTTAAAATTCTAAAAGGAACCAATTTCATTTTCGGTTGCCCTTTTGCTGATTGCGGTTTCATTTGAAGAGAGAAAGCGACATTTTCGTCGCTTCCTTGTTTACGAAAGCCTCTGGTACACTTATTATAAAGTTAGTGTTGTCGTCGGGTAAAATCCAGACAAGCGTCCTGTTGCGTCCTTAGACGTTGGAAACAACGTCACGAATTTCGCAAAAATAGTTCCGTCTAGAAATAGCCTGCGGTAGTTCCAATCCACTTGCTGGCTGATGGGAAACTGAGACTCAGAAACGTTTTTCGCGTGTAATCGACCGTTTAAAAATATCGAAAAGAACGAGTTGCCGTCGAAATCGGGTTTGTGGGTTCGTTTATTCGCGAGAAAATGTCTTATTTCAGTTTTAGACGTGGTGCTGCTCTTGGGAAACACCATGGAGGTAGATAAAACCTTGTCCGAAACGATTGGTAAGTTTCAATGTTTTTCTATTGCACCATTTACCGTTTCTAAGCGTTCTAAAGGCTCATTTCATTTCACCATTGCATTTAGAAACACTTTTAATAAAATCATACTCTAACTTCAATGTTATTTTATACTTATTTATATTTACAAACGACGCAACCGAAACGAATCTGTTACATAATCCAAACTGGTCGAGCAAAACGAAAAGTTTGGATTTTGCTTGATAGGTATCAAGTCAGAATTCAAAAAATCCCAGTGTTTGAAACGCGCAAAGTACAAAGGGCATGTTGGCGTCCCTTACAGCATCGCATCCTAGGATGAAATCCATGAAGCTATTTTTATTAAATAAGATGATTTCTTAAGCCAAAAAGTTTGACAGAAGAGCGCTGTATAAACATACAGATGCGCATAATTGTTAGGATTACTTAGCTTGTGCCAACAATATTTCCTAACGTACTCGTCTCTATTCAGAACTAACATTTTGCTCCAAATTACTAGGATTTTGCTGTAATGTTGGATCTGGCCTTGGTTGGCCAGCTCCAACAAATGATTCATTTATTTCCATAAAACTATCAAACGTTTAAATCTTTAAAAAGTTACACAAAAGTCCAATTGGCAGCAGATGTATAACGAACCCAAATTTGGTAGCAAAATTAATGGTCACAAAGATGAATATGAATAATTTAAAAAATGTAGTCAAAAATGGGCTTTGTGGACCATTATATCCTTCCACCTCCTTGAAAATTGCATATTAAAGTATCAAAATCAGTTTTGGCTAAATTGTGGAATCCACAAATCTAAATTTGAATGCACCATTAAAATAACGTATTTTCTGCCACAAAATTTTGGGTACGTCTTTGTATAATGTCATATACATATTTCAAAATCCCCTTTGTATGCTTCTGATCCATATTTCAATGAAAATAACAAAATTATTGTATTTTGTAATGTAATAATAATTGTATTTAAGGAGCATGACTAGTACCTATTAGATCAACTCACCTGTATAATAAATAATACCTCCTCTATTTTTAATAAATACGTACCCTTGAGTTACGAACCATGAAGTTCATAAACATTGAACCGAACGGTAATAAAAATAATTTTTTTATTGATATTATTCACACAATTTTTATGATTATGAATAAAACAGTACGTAACCATGAGATTTCAAAGTGAATTAATTGTGCTGCAATTGTTTTGCATGTAATTTCAACTAAACCTCCTCATTTAAAAATATACACTTTTAAATGTCGGCTACTATTCTTTTGGAGACGAATACGTACTCAACCAAACATTTGATGTGTGAAGTAATACAGACCGAAATGAAACAAGTCTTGTTTGGTGTATATCCAATTGAGATTACCTCAAACAATTGATAATTTGTATGAAAAACGACTTCCCATTAATATTAACCGATTGGATTTATTAAAAGCGTAACCTGTGACGCACAATCTCAGTGTGAAGTACACCAGAAGCGGACGCCAAAAGTTTGTACTTGAAAATTAAATTTAGACAGATTGTTTAACAACCTATTCACATTTTCAAACATCCAATAACACACTAATTAACAACATTATTATGGAATTGAGAGTGATTTAGAGAAATGAGCCCATGTAAAGGGCAGCACAAAAATTTCGTTTTCATTTGACTCCTCTTCCTCATTGTCATAAATCTTCACAAACGTGCGGCCTCCCTCTGTTTGATGGGGAAGGTAGAATTTTGCCAGCTTTTATTATTTCAATTTAAAACTATTATTCTAATTGAGATTTTTTTTAATCCTTTTAAATACCTTACAATACTAGAATATTACGAAGTACCACAAACGACGTGGTGAACGCCATCTGTGGCTTTAATGCAAATTGAGTGGAAATCACTAAATTCAACAAGGTCCATTTATGTCGATGGATATCTACTCACTGAGAGAGGACGCCGGTTCGATTCCGGGTCTGTCTGCCTTGGTCCAAGTTTTTCTGTGGTTTTTTTAGATCACTCAGGCAAATGCTGGGGCAGTAATATTCCACAGATAATCTTTCATTCTCTTCTGTCTTCATTTCGTCCGTCTCATCTTTCTCACCCGAACCACCACCCACCCATCCCCACGATTCCTGAAAAGAGGCTGAAGAGGGCCTTCCGTCCTACCTTCCGGCGTAATCCGGAGGGACTGCCCGCCCACCAGCATTAGTGGCTGGTGGGAATGAAACACTCAAAAGTTTTTTTTTTCTATTTACTGAACTGAATCCACAGCGTAGCTTACCCTCAGGTCTAAAGGCAGTCGTTGGTTGGAGTTGTTTCCTAACGTTTCGCCAGCATAAGTTACAAGTACGATCTTCTTCAGAGGTCCTTCTATCTCCAATGCTGAAGACGCTTCCGACTCGTGCTAGCGAAACATTAGCAAGAAACTTCAATCGAATGTTGCGCAAGCATGTTTTTTATGGTCCTTTAAGTTGATGGTTCAAAATAAAGACACTAAGAAAACTTAAAATCATTGGCTTAACTCTCCCATAAATATTACGAGAATCTTTAGAAATTCTGTCAAATCTGCAATATTGGTTTCGATAGTTTCAGAAATTTTTGGGCTTGTTTTCAAAAATTCCTTTGCAAAGAAAATAGAATGTCCTTGTAGAAGTTCCACTGACTTGTTTTTATTGAGTATAGAACCCTAATATAGCAAACATTTGTCTTTGCTTTATCTAACTGAGATTAATTATAACCCAAGTTAATATGTTTGCAAATCACAGAAGTGATTTTGACGAAACAGCTGTAAAGTTTCCAAAAATATATGCTTTCAAACAAAAGAAGTTACGTAAACAAATCAGTTTCAGTTTCTAACGTCCAGCCTTTCTTCTGTTAGCTGTTAGCAAGTCTTCTACTCTTTGACATACGGATCGCATCTAATTTTTGCAGAAATCAATTATAAATATGCGGTAAAATCAAAGTCTGCAGGCTGTTTTGAATTCCGAAAGTCTTTGTTAGTAAACATTTATTGCGTTTTTGGTGTGAGAAACGTTCGTTGAAAAAGTTTTCGGTGCTTTATGTGTAACCGTTTAATTTATTGCTGAAGAAAACGTTACAAAAATAATACCTATAGTTGAGGCGATCAAAATTGGCATAGTCCGCATTAAATTATCTGTGAGAATTGACATTCGTCTTTCTTGTTTCCTCTTGGGACTGTAGTCATTTGCGTTTTGAACATGCCCTTGTTAAGTAAGGAAATGTTTCATGAGTAGTACTGACAAAGTAAAAAGAGATAACCGAATAACAGTAAGCGGTAATGCTAAAGATCAGGGTCGGATTTATACCTTTAAACAAGCGTCTATGCTTCTACTTGTCTGCATCTCTTTCTGTTACACATCAATTGGTGTAAGGTTATTCCTTTTTCTTTATTAGTGTCCGCTGCAATTACTAACTGGCATCTCTTTTATATCTTAACGGTATTTCCTCTAACGTCTGTCCTGAGCAAAAGTGGGCGATCTATTAGCAACCGCTCTAGTCTAGTTAGTAAGTTGAAAGAAGAAAGTAAAAGAGACAGTTTTATTGCGGATTATTTCAATTTTGAACGTTTTTCAACCATAGTTCAGTTGAAAATGTAGATATAATTCTACAGAAAAAATACGCACAATCCTTTGTCAGCGCTCATTACATTATAACATCATATTAGTCCTCTCCTCTTTTTCAAGAAACCATATTTAAAAATGCACTTGGTAGGGGGATGCAGAAATATTCTTTAAGTTTAGTTGGATTAGGTCAGGTTCCAACAGTTTCTGTTTCTCTTTGTTATCGAATCTCACATTTTCTTGTCTAAATAAGCATTTTCCGAAAATAAACTGCAGTTCCAAACCTTCCAGAAAATGATGAATTAACGAAAATTCTCCCTGAAGCATGGAAGCAAGTAAGAGTAATGCTCTTTTCTGTGTGTTCCTCTAATAACGTCAGTTATTTCTGCGACTGTTGTAGATAAACATATCACTACATCAGTCTTGAAGTATTCAGCTAACTGGCGAAAAACCCATAAGACCAGAATTATTTGGCACACTTTGGGAAATGAACATTGTTTGTATGTTTGTATGTGCGTGTGTGTCTGTGTATTTGTGAGACGCCACGTTCATTTTACAGATGTATTGACTCAAAATAAACGTGACTAAATAATAGTAAACATTGCAGGAGGAAAAATTAGATGTCGATGAAAGAAAAGTGCGAAATAGCATTTTAATGTTCCAATTCCTCATCGATCAAACATCATAAAGATGGTGGGTAGTAAAAATTGACATCAATCAAAATGGCCATCATTTTTTTGTTGATGAGAAGTACCTACACGTATATTACGTTGTATAGGGTTTTTTGTTTGGTGTTTCTTTAGAACTTGCTACTAAAGTTACTGAAACTGTAAGCTGCTAGCAAAAGCCAATTATTTTTAAAAATTACTATCCACACGTTATCAATTTCACTGTTGTCGAATATTAGATTAGATTAGCTAAGCTGTCCAAATCACATTTAAAAACTCTAGAGGAATTGAGGATTTGTCTGCCCTGGCCTACAAGTATCAGATAATATTTCAATTCTTTCCTGTCTTCGTTTCGTTCTATCCACCAAATACCCTTTCGATTCCTAAAAGGGAGGGCCCCACCCTCAAGCTTTATGCACCAGAGTTTAAGTCGTAAGGACTACCTGCTTGCCAGCATAAGCAGGTGGTCAAAATAAAACGTAAAAATTGCAAATTAATTTTCACATGAGCTTAGAGTAGCAGGCATTTCGTTGAACTGTCTATTTGTGATAAGTAAATGCAAGACTAATACAGTCTTGGTGTTCGTCTTACTATTGGTCTATCACATATTAACAAGTCTTCGCCTTGCTTTCGGTCCGACACCAATAATCTTGAGTTTCATCTTGCTTTTGGTCCAATACATATAATCTTGATCTTGGTGTTGCTTCTATGACATTGTAACAAGTCGAACACTAAGAACGCGTTGTGAGCGTTCAACAATTGACAAAACGCGTTCCGGCGTTCGGGATTTGAAATATCGTAATACAGAGTATGGTAATACCCACGCCACTGTTTTGGCTCAAAAATCACATCCTTCATGTCATTAGTGAAGGGTCAAGTTTCGTTAAAATTATCGCTCTTGCCTAAGTAAAATGAAACAATTATCATACCAAGTCAAGCATCAAGCAAGTATATATATATTTTCGAGTTTCAGTGAAACGATTTTAAAATACATTCCTGTATTAGTCTTTTTAATAATTTTTTAATTTTTGAAAATACAAGTATCTTAGTTCAACAAACTTTATTAGCTATTCAATAATATCTTTGAAAGAAAGGAAATTCACTAAAAGAAAGAAAAACCGTACATTTACCCAGGTCGACAAACTGTTTCCTATTTATTGTTATTTCAGTGAAAAAATAAATATAGCGATATAAATTCCAGATATTTTTATTTTTAAGTGGAAAGTGACATGCATATTTTTTCATGCGAAAAGAAAAACATTTATAAACAGCAAGGAGTAAAGTTGAACCTGCGCACTGCACGTGGAATTGTGTGCTATTAATTTTAACTTTCTCTGTTATATGGATAATTACAATTATATCTACATTATCTGTTTCTGCTTAAGCATTTACTTACGAGTATTTGTATCTCAACTTCATTGACCATAAAATGTAATTGTTATATTCTCAAAATCTGACCGATGTGCAAAAATTTTCTAAAGTTCAGTGTATTCGCCCTGACCCTTCATTTATAAAATATTTAGAAAGACCATCATACGGTAGAAATCAAGGTTCATTAGTACCTATTGATTAAATTGTAATTATTCGGGAATGATTGAAACCGTTGTTGTTTATTTGAATTAAATTTCTTTTTAAAATGGGTCAGATATATTTACAGTCCAGATGGCATGCATGGTGAAATTTAATGGAGTTATTTTTCTTCATTGGGTTAGATCAATACCAGTTACGTCAGCTTCTTTTTTGAATAACTATTTGGGGAATTAGCAAAATTAAATGATTTCTAAATCTGCATCTGTGAACTGATTGATTTGTACTAGGTATTTTTAATTATTACAGGGCTCTGTAAAGTTATAGATAGCTTTAAATAAAATGGAAATGGTATTTACAAAAGAGTATTGCATGAAAATAAATAAAAGTAAAATAAAAATACTGGTATGCAAGGGAAGAAAAAGTAGGGAATGAACGAATGTAAAGATAGGAGACGAAAGATTAGAAGAAGATAAGTCAGGACGGAAGGAGCAATAGGGATATAAAGCAGAGGATAGCGCAGGGTCGAGTCGCTTTCAATAAAAAGAAGTCACTTCTATACTCGTTAACGATTAATTTAAAAATTGGAAGAACATTGTTAAAGGTGTTTGTTTGGAGTGCGACGCTGTACGGATGCGAAACATGGACGGTGGGCGCGGCGGGGAAGAAAAGGTTAGAAGCGTTCGAAATGTGGTGTTACAGGCGAATGATGAGGATACTGTGGATAGAGAAGGTTAGAAATGAAGAGGTGTTAGAAAGAATAGGAGAACAGAGGACTCTATGGAAGTCAATAAGAAATAGGCGAGATAGATTGGTAGGACACCTTCTCATCCATGAAGGGTCTAATCAGAGAGATATTAGAGACAGAAATTGAAGTTAGAAGGAGTAGAGATAGACCTAGATTAGATTACTGTTCGCAAATAAGGATATAGGATGTTCTAGTTTTAGGGAAAAGCGAAAATTAGTTCAGGATAGGAAAGAGTTGAGGTGCGTGTCCAACCAGTCTTAGGACTTCCAACTTTATGATGATGAAGGCTCTATAAATAAAACTTAATTAGTCGTATTGTGATATCCTTAATATTAAATTCACGACGTTTTTGAAGCTACTAAACATTTTTATGAAGTACTTAACCAAATTTCTAAACTGCAACCATACCGAAATAACGGTGATATTGGCATTGCAGAAAGCTTTTCTAAACAATATGAAATTATAGTAGTTGCAATCATTACTCCTGTAAATTGCATACTTGCATCGGTATACAATTGGTCATGGTCGTGAAAATTCATAAAGGAAATTTAGATTTCCTCAAGTTCTGTGATGCTAATTGGATTGCGGATTTGTAATAAACCAACGAAATGGTGTTTTGTTTTTGAAGCAATAGACATGGAGTTGTGTACTTTTACAAATTTATACCTGACACTTGGCATAAGTCCCAAAGAAAGCAATGGCACTTGGCACACCAGAACGTTTCCACAGCAACAAAACCAAAAATTACTTCGAATTTAAGAACGCACCCAACTCCCCGCGAGTTAAATTAATCTTGCAGGTGAAATTTATGAGATGTTTGCTTACTTAACAGGAATCCCATAAACGAACTCTTGAAATAGACGCACTTGAATAGATGGTATCGGAAAAATCATGATATCAAAATTCTTAACTGATCGAGAACTGTCTGCGGAAAGTGTTAAGTTAGAATGTTTGTACTTACCGACTTGAAAAATTGCTGGTTACATTTGTTTGTTTGTTAAACTGAAAAATGAACCTACCTATTTAAAAGAGCACAAAGTGCGGCATTGAACAGTGTTAAGACGGAAATTATACTAGAAGTGGCTACTTGTCTTTTACTAGTTTTGGGCCGAGTGAAAAAGTGTGCTTTGTATGTATTTATGAATTTTTTTGGTAGAAGATTGCTAATGTTGAAGTTTAAACAATACTTAATTAATTTTCTCAGTTCTCACAAAGGGTAAAAGAAACGCGACTTTTTATTCATACATATTTTAATTATATTTATTCACATTTAGTTAGTTTAAAACAATAATTTATTTATTGCATACGACTCTAGTAAATTTGAAAACTCTTTATCTAAACATTAACATTTTTGTGGCAAAAGAAAGCAGTGGAGAGGGTTCGTTAAATAAGATTTTCTTTTGTTTCAGAAGAAATACTGAAAGGATTTTTGAATGTAAGTTTGTGTATCCCATTTGCTTGAATGATAACTTTATTATTATAATTTTTATAAAAAAAATACATTTTTTGTGTTTGGGTTTCCTGCTTATCAACACTCACTATATTGGCTACAAGACGCCACAGTATATTGTTTATTGACTTTTTCGTTAATTTCTTAGTTCTAATTATTCAATTCCGATGATCATGAAGTATTAGTAGTTTTAAGAAGTTAATTAAACGTTTTATAAACATAAACAAACAAATTCAAGTATTCGTTACCAAAAATTAATCGTTCCTTAATAGTGTAAAACTAATTAATTTTTATTTACTCTAGTTGAGATTATTATCCTAGTATTTAATTAATTTTCCATGTAGGTAACTTTGTTCAAGCGGTTAAAATATGAATAGGAGATTCCACATTTCAGACTGTCTTATTTTAGACGATTAGATTTTCTTTGTTAATGTTAAGATAAGAATTAATATGGACTTCTTAAGCCGTTTAATAAAGATACGGTGAGATAAACCTAAATCTCTCCACTTTGTCTATGCATTCGTTTAAAAAGAAAATGTCTTTGAAATTATTCGTAGAGAATACTAAATTAAAGTTCCTTCGGGCGAGTACTAGAAGAAGAAGACGGTATAAAATACTAAACGAAGATGAAAGTCCCACGGGAACTGTTAGAATTATTAATTCTGAGGGTACGTTATTACGTCACTTCTAAAAGTTTGTTAGTTTTATGAATGTGAAAGTGTACCAAGTGAATTTCGAAATAAAATTATTACCTTAAAAGAGTATTTTGAAAAATAAAAAATGGAAATTGTATATTATTAAGTACCTAGTGTTCTAAAAAGTAAATTATATTATTTTAATGCCCACTGTATCCCTCAGGTAATAAATATAATTCTAAAAATTATATTCGATGAGTGCGTTAGGATCTTTTTTAATTCTTCTAACCATTACTACTTAGATAATAAAGGTATTTTTAAAAGTTACTTCAATAAGCTCTGATGTAATATTCCACTAGATTTCTTCTTCTGAAAACCTTCCCCAAAATCTGTTTTCAGTATTCCAATGTTAGATTTGTGAGTGAACCATTTACATTCCGTAATTGTAGTTTACAATATACGGTTTAATTATGGTTAATAAAAAACAGTATCCATTAGGTTGTGGCTATATAAATAACGGTGTGATGGTGGTGAATATCAAATATTTTTTGAAGTGTTTTCCTTATTCTCAATAATTGATTGAACATCTTACCAAACCTCTGGATATTTTTAGCTCTTTATTATGAAAGTGAATATAAAATGCATAATTGAATACAGGGTATTCAAACAGTTATTTCAACAAGTTACAGAAATAACCCCATCGAAAAAGAATATCTTCGTGTTCGCTTGTATCATATTTACGGAATCAAGTCAAACAGTGCAACGACCTATTTCCATTTTCTGGCTACAGGGTCTTACATCTGAAAATTTATTTTTAAAGTCCTTGTAGATATTTCATCAAAGTACTTCACTAAGTTGGTTGAATTGATCATTTTTCATCTTTTAGAACAAAACGGTGTAAATACCTTTGACCATAAGGTAAAAGTAGATATTTCATTCGTTTCTAAGTAGATAACTGATAACAATTCCTATCTTAATTTAATTTGCCTAATGACAACAAATATAATCGGAAAATTAAGTAATTGTTTTCCCTTTTTTTTTCAGAAAAAGATACACCACGGGTTCCCATTAAGACATATCAGTGGGAAGACGTACGAAGATCTCGTAAAAAAGGAGGATACCCTTGGACTCACATTACAAAACCACCATACGACGGTGAAGAAGACCCTGAAGGTTACACTTTAGAAGCATATAGAAGAAGTCGCAGTCGAAGCACTTCGACAATCGGAAAAGCACGAAGCGAGAGTGCTTCCACATTTGGTGATAGAAGCCCGTCGCCATACGATCGACAAAACGAGGAAAGCTTGAATCATTCCAGAACACCCTCGACTGTCAAAGCCGATCAACATCAAACAAACAAAAAAAACGGCGTAACGTCCTTGAGTCAACCGAATTTTGAACATTTTAGAGAAAGAACAACGACTTTCGAAAGTCGCTACGAAAGAAGCATCAGCCCTCCTTCGAACGAACGGACTCGGAGTTTAACAAGAGATTTAACTTCAGGGAGCTTTAAAAGAAGCAAAAGCCCTTCTAGGAGCTTTTCAGAAAAGAAAAGCGAGAGTCCTCCGAACCAAAGAAGGAGCCGAAGTCCCACAAGAAAGGAGACTACGAATTCAACTATTGAACAAAGCAAAACCAACATGGAAACAAACGAACCTAACAGCAAAGACACAAAAAATGAACTGGATCTCGATGGCAAAACAAACGAATCATTTACCAAGAGCGACGAAAATGTCAATGAACCATTGGATGAAATTTCGTTATCTCCAGAAGAAGAAGCAACAAGTACACCTGCAACAAAAGACACGAGGTCTCGAATTGAAGAAAAGGCAGATTCTAAAAGAAAATTAAAGCGACGACTGAGTGTACAAAGTAGTTATAGTAGAATAAGTCTTACCAAACAGAGCATTTTAGACAGAATCAAAAGCACAAAGAGGTCAATAAAACCGTCCAGACTAGTCAAACGTTCAAGATCGGACGTCACCTATGAGAAAAAACCCATCAATACAAAAGGAAGAAAAAGCATCGACACTACAAAACACATTGATAAACCAGTTTACATTCATATTCCTCTAAAACCCCCACCGGGTCAAACAGATGAATTTTCGTATTTAGAATTTGAGAAAGATCCTCCTCCCGTAGGACAACTCCCAGAAAAGAAAAACGGTAAAAAGGAGGTCTTCGGAGACGACCGGGATGGCAGTCCTATTGTTGGGGTGATATTAGAATTCGATGATCCGGACAAAAAAGACGGATACACATCTAAGGAAATAAACGACATCATCTCTAAAATGGGAAACGGTGCCAACGTGCAACAGATCGATGCCAAAGACTTGTTCCCCGAAATAGCAGAACAATCAGCAAAAATTAAGGAAATAGTAGACAGTATAGACGATAAAGCCAAAATAGTGGCAACAGATGGAAAAGAAGTTCTCGAAGAGGTGGAAGTAAACAATAAGGCAGAAGTATTGGAAAAGCTAAAACAAGTAGAAAACGGTTCCACCCAAAGCATTAAAGCAACAGATGATAAAGATGTACAAAATAATTCTCTACAACCACCAGTACCTCAGCAGCAACAGAATGAGCAAAATCATTTGAACGTACAGTCAAATGACGGCGTGCAAATACAGGAAATGTCAAGTCGAGAAGGAAGTACGTCTTCAGCTTCGAACAGGAGTCCTGGAATGCTAACCGACAAACCAATAACATCAGAACCAGACGAGGACAACATAAGTCAATACCTAGACAAAGACGAACCTATTGAAGTTGAATCGAGTAGAACGGAAAGTGCCGAACCTGAAGGCACGACTAAAGTCAATACAGATATTGTCGAAAAAATACAGCCGCTGAAGGGAAGCGACTTGGATGTGCCAAAAAATAGAAAAAGAGCTCGATCAGAAGAACCATCCACCAGGAAAAGGAAGCTTTCTATCGAAAGTAGTTATAGCCGAAAGAGTCTTTCCAAACTGGCATTCTTGAAAAAATTCAAAAACTTTACCGACAAAATAAAAATTCCTTCTTTGAAAAAATCGGAATCCAAAGAAAAAATAAAAGAGAAACCGAAAGAAGAAAAGAAGGAAGACGATAAAGAAGTAGCCCAACCAAAAACTAAGGATAACTTAAAAAAATCGAAAAAAGAAGAACCAAAATATATCTACATTCCTTTAAAGCCACCAGAAGGAGAAACGGATGAATTCTCTAAATTCGCTGACGAACCTCCCACAGAATCAAATGTTTCAAATAAGGAACTTAAACGGGAAGATACTGAAACCTCGGTAGAAACACCAACGAATGACGTTCAAATTATTATTCTAACACCTCCTTCTGATGATGAAATATTAGACAGTAATCTTCCGGAGACTCCATCCGAAACCGACCAGAAATTCTTTGACAATATGCAAATAGATAACTTAAAACATTTGGCAAAGAAGGTTGTAGATGAGGTGTATCCAAACTCCCACGAATTACAAACGGTACAAGAAGAAAAGACTGGATCGGACGAAAATTTAACCAAAAATGGAGTAATAGAAGAAACTAATAAGAAGGAAGACGATAGTATTAAGACAGAACAAAAAATTGAAGAAGAACCAACCAAGACAACTCCAGAAGAAAGTAAAGTACCTCCAAAAGAAATTGATGGGGCCTCTAAAGAGGAAAGGGTTGTTCTTCAAGAACGAATATTAGTGGACGAAGAAGATGGTTTAAAATTAAGTGAAGTAGCAGTCGCCATGATAAACGAAGAATTGGCTAAAGAATCGCTACCACAGACTCCTTCGGACAAGGTCAAAGAAACACCAGCAGCTGTTGAAGATGTGGTGAAGATAAAGAAGAAAGTTTTATTCAAAAATAAGAAGAAAACTGACGATGGAGAATACGAATACATTACTATTCCGGACTCACAAAGAAGTAGCTACGCCGAAGATAAACCAGAAGAATCGGATACATGCCAGATTAAAGAAGACGTAGAATTGATTAAAGATAAACATGAAGAAGGATCCCCCAATGTAGACGGGAAAAAGTGGTCCGAAATAGAGTAAGTTTTACCTCTAGATGAGTTTGACCCCTCAAACGATTTATGTGTGATGCTTGCTTAGCATTTTTAGGTAGCTTTTCATACATTCAAACATTCACGGAATTCATTTAGGGCATGATTCTTCCTCCACTTTGTTTTTATATGTCAGATTTTTTCGTACAGTTGCAAAAATTAAAAAATTAACAACCAGTAATCTTTACTTGTGTTTGGAATATTTAGAAATATAAACTTTAGATACATAAAATGGACGGTACCTAAATGACTCATCACGTGCTA